TAAATAGGAGAAAAATAATACTTTTTAAAGCTTAAAAATTTAAAAGCGTATCCTGTGACTGTCTTAATTACTCTTTTTATCCTTTTTCAAAATGCAATGTACAGATAACTTTTATATTAAAAGGTACGTTTATAGATATTTTTGTTTGAAAAAAGAAAAATTGAACAAAGAACAAACAATATATAATGAAATAGGTTTTCCCAGAGTAAATAGTATTTGATTTAAATTGATTTAAAGAAATAAGACATAAATGAAACAAATGGAGATAACGAACAGTATTTAAGATCAAAAGTCCATAAAACAATGCGAATCGGGAGCAGAGAAAACACGGACCTCCAAGACATCAGAGGTGGGATCATATGCCAAGGAGAAATGAGCATCCCCTGCTGACCGGTCACACCCCGCCGTGTGCTCCTTGTCATGATCGAGAAATAACGTAATAATCTGTCGTCAATTCAGTGTATAAATAATTAACTAACAATTACTATGAAAAACGTCAGTCAGCATTTGACTCAGAGACAAATTGTATTCGCTGACATCTAATTACCCAATCAACTTTAAAGAAAGACAAGAATTGATTAATGTCAACAAAAAAAAAATCAAAATTTTGTTTTAAATTCCAAAAAAAACTTAAAGAATTGGATATGAGAAAAAGAATGTTTTTAAAAATTAAAACAATTTTATTGTGTTACTTGTTGTCATCTATATCTTACATGCTTGTAAAGGTAATATTTTCATGATTTCATTGTGTTTAAATAATACATGTAAAGGATTTTAACTTGAATCACATCATTATGTGAAAATAATTTTTTTGCAGTAAGTAGATTATTATCTAGAAATATTTCTGTATTAGAAATATAGACATCATTTTCAAACATTGCTATTCTTACAGATAACAATTTTAATTAAGGTAATTTCCTTCTATAAAACTATATTCTGTTAATTTTGCTGTGTTAAAAAAATGATATTCAAATTGCTTTATCAAAAACAAGAATGAATAGAATAAAAACAGTATGGAACACACGCAGGTTTTGAATTTAATTAAATATGTTCGTCGTTTACTATCTTTACTTTATACATTTCATAGAAAATATCTAAAGAAAATTTATCTACCGGAAAATGCAGGGTTTGAATTTTTTAAATACATTCTATTTGATCTCATTATAAAAATTCCAAATTACAACAGATAATTTTTATATCAATGAAATTAAGTACATGTGTTAGAGAGATACTTTTGATACTTTTAGTTGCATTTGTATCGCTTCTAGTGCAATCTGATTATAATCAGTTGTTCTGATGCGCAACATAAGCGATAGCGTTTCAGAAGATCTTTTTTTAATCAGATTGGCTTCAAGTGGAAAATCACATCCTGACAGCTTATATTTTCTTCAATAAAATGTAATCTTTTCTTCATTGTTGAAAACTTTTTTAAAATTTCTATACTTAGATGTTAAAATGCATAAGATATATTTTACTCTGGCATTTATAAATACAGAGGAAATCGATAAAGAGTTGGCATGTATGAAAAACAAAAACTCCTTTTCAAAATTGGTTGAAAAATAAAAATTATATCTGTAATTTTTATATGAGACCAATTATTATAATTTTGTTTGTAATATAGAATCAGCAATAAAGTTTCTTTTTTTTTAAGATAATCATGATTTCCATTTAATACAAGGACATTTATTTATTAAAAGTATGTGAGATAGTAAATAACAGAGAGATATTATTTTTAATAAGCTAATAAAAACAACGAAATGTTCCCCCCCAGAGCTAATAAAAACAACGAAATTTTTCACCCAGAGTTGTTTAATGATTCAAAATTAAAAAAAAAAAAAGTAGGGAATGACTGAAGGATATGCAGATAACAAACAGTCGGTTAAATTATTCGAGTATGACCTGGTTTGGCCCATTTAACGCTGTTTTTATCATCCGCGAATGCATAAAATATATCTAGTTCTTTTTTTGAAGTACGACATTCATTGTTAGGGTCTCTTGAGCCTCAATGTCATTTATTTGTGAATATGTACATTTATGCAAAACTGTAATCCTTAATTGAAATAATTTCTCGAGAAGCTGATTTTTGTGATCCTATGGTGAACATGAAGAGGATACATGTATAACTATCAAGAAATGGTTATGGCGTATCTGACTGAAACCAGTAAAAGATCTAGATCATTATGATGGTAAAGTATTAAGGTGAACGAAAACGTTTTGTCTTGACGTAAATACTTCTTTATAAATCTTTTATGTTATATTGTTGCTAATGGGACATTAGAGAAAAGTTTACTTATTCAGTTTTGTTGGATTCAACGTCCATGACTGTCTTGATAGAATTTCAATTTTGATATCAATTATTTTTCCTAGTTACTGTCTCCTAGACAAGTTTTCCTGAACATTTTTAATTTCCAAATCGGGTTCAGGCCACATGGTGTACTTTTTAGTCTCATTAAAAATCCATCATTTTGTAAGTTTATGGTCAATACAATGACCTTATCAGCAAATATAATTTGTCATTGAATCAAATGCTGACTTTTAACGAAATACTGATGACATGGGTAGAATGAAGAACGCAAACAGATGATTCCTAGAAACTAGAACAAATACGTAAATCCGGAAACAAAGAAACGTTCCAAATGTTGACCGGCAACATCTGTCTTGTGCCCTATTATTCGATAGGTGTACGGAATATTCTGTAAGTAAGTTAGTAATAAAACAAAGACTTGGTAATTGGAATGAAACATGTCAGCCATAATACTACACAATTACTGGTTATATTTGCTTTGAAGGTCATTATGTGGACTACAGAATGTACTAAATGCCTACTGTGATATAAGTCTGTGAAATCCTTGTAGCATTAACTTATTCGTGATTAGGATAACAGGCTTCAAAAAATGATTGTATGCAGTGAAAGCTCTTGATTAGCTAATACGTAAAAGACATTAAAACCATCAGCTGGTGGTGACAGAGAACAAACAAAGGGAAAATTGAAGATGAAAAAGTTGAAGGAATCTCCTTTGCCATGCAATGTAAAATTTAGTTGTTAAATTGTCCTTCGTCTATAAATAGTCAGTAAAACATCCAATTATTAAATAGATGTAAAAGTTTCTGTAATTCCTTTAATTTCAAGTTAACATGGGTATATCGAGTCGACATATAAATGTTAATTACTTGTTAATTGATAATTGATAACTCAGATTCGATATATCTGAATGTTCAAACAGCAAGTGTATTCTTCTCGTTTAAAGGTTTTTGAATTTTAAATAAATTCTGCTTATATGTTAATATAAAATCATCCCCAGCTAATAAATGACACAGTTACTGCTCTTTGGACTCCAAACATTTTGTTGGAAAACTTGGTCTCCGAAATCTTAAAAGATGTTGTATATTAGAACTCGAGCATCCTTTCAATATTAAATTCAGAGTTTTAAATGCATCCTTAATTAATTAATTACTGCTTGACTAATTATAACTGTCTATAGTTTCTACTATCATAATTAAATATTCATAATCCTTGCTTACAATGCTTGCTTGTAATCTCGTTTCGGTTTCATTCATGTCAATATTTTAAAGTAAACAAAATAGAAACATGCCTCAAATTACTCCGATTGCATGTCCATTTGCAGAACATCTTCAGCGGCAGGGGGTTTATGCGGTCCCCTGACAACGCCTTACTATTTTTCATTTATTATTCTTTAATTTCAAGTTAACCATGTTAACATGGGTGTATCGAGTCGACATATAAATGTTAATAACTTGGTAATTGATAATTGATAACTCAGATGTGACATATATGAATGTTCAAATTGAAGGCCACAGCAAGTGTTTTCTTCTCGGTTAAAGGTTTTTGAATTTTAAATAAATTCTGCTTATATATTTATATAAAATCATCCCCAGCTAATAAATGACAGAGTTACTGCTCTTTGGACTCCAAACATTTTGTTGGAAAACTTGGTCTCCAAAATATAAGAAAAAAGTTATCTATTCGAACTCGAGTATCCTTCCAATATTAAATTCAGAATTTTGTATATTTTAAGGTATCCGAATCATAGTACCCTCAGATAAAGATAATATTTATTTGAAGTCGGTTACATCACATTTTATCTTTATCTAAGGCTAGAATTGATCAAATAATTACATGAAAAAACACAGATGCTAAACATCTCAGATGCAATGAATTCGAATGCATAACATATTTATGTTTACCGATTACTCAGCATAAGTAGACATAATCTTCATATTTTGGTCTCAATATGTAAGAGCGGAATGTGTCCTAATATTTTACATTGACCCGTCCTTGAAGAGTTATCATCCTTTGCTTTTAATCAATAAAATTAATGTTAACAAAGTCTACCTGGAGTAGAATAATATTTTAATCGTTTTTCTATTCTTAATTATTATATACATCTTTCCAACTTAGCATTTTTGAAATTCGTAGTATTTAATTTTTTTTAAAAACATTTGTTCGTTCCAAAAGACTTAAATGCATCCTTAATCAATTTATCAATCAATTACTGCTTGGGTAATTATGTTTTTGAATATTTCTCCTGGTAAATGCTTTTCTACTCTAAACTGCGTCGAATTAGTTTCAATGTATTGAATACAGGATGGAAATTTATGGTTAGAAAATTATGTCCTTTTATGGGTCGGATACCTTAAGAAGTAGTTTTGCTGATGACAAATCAAATAATGTGAGTCTAATTTTTATTGACGCAGTTGGCTATGATATTAAGAAGCATAGTTTTAAATTTAACTAGAGGAATTGTTGTAGAAAGAGTAGAATTGTAAGTTTTGACCATTTTAGGACGTTCATTGATCATTCGATAGACAAAATGGTGGAGTTTCATCATGTTTACTTCCTGTGTATAAATCTCTGAGGAAAAAATCTTCATGTAAATCAGGATTTTTATTCAGTATGAAAACCTTAGAAAATAATCAACAAAAACAAGATAAGATCACAATCATACAGTTTAAATTCTTCAGAGTCATGAGACCATTTAAAAAAATGAACTGGAGGATTTAAAAAAAAACATTGCTGTCATAAATTTAAGATGTGCATTTAAATTTACACGGGATCGGAAAAAAAGTCTCATACAAACATACAAACAAAAACGGAAAAAATGTTTTGTTGCATCAAAGACTCCTTATCAAATATTTGCATTAAAGTCGAAGGCATGAATGTCTAATGGAAATGAGAGGTTTTACCATTAAAATCTATGCGGAAGAAATACCCAACCTGTTGAAATGAATCCTGCTTCAATGTATGGTAAAAATTGTATTATAAACGTTTGTTATATGAATATGAGGAAACTTGTATTATATGATTTTACATTTGCCTTATCCAACAAATTAAATAGTACTTATTGCGATTATTCACCATCTCAGATAGTTATATAGATGAAGCAAAAAAAATTATGTCACATTTTAATTTTTTTTTTCATTTTCTTTCTGTTTTTAACAAAATATGATATACTCCTAAAAATTCCGCCATTCTGATTTACAGTTTTTCTGAATCAAGGATACATTTGCTAGTTTGATGAAACTTATTCTGTTGGTTAATATACAGATATAGATAAAGATTAAAAGTAGGAAAATTTGAAATCATCGACGCCTAATTTTGAAATATAAGACAGATAGATTAAAGATTTTTTTTCATGCAACTTTTGAATGGTCAAAGAATAAAGACCCAAAAATAAGAATTCTTACTAAGGAAACAATCCTTAGCATTTTATATACGGCATCACACCTGTTAGACTGTATATAAATGTAAAATGTAAAGAAAACGAACAAAAATTATGATCGATCTAGAAAAAAGCTATAAACAATACAATTATTTATGATAAGTATGTAATGCTTTTATGAAAGTTTATATGATGTTTTAAATGGTTGTTTATCTCCGCCTCTACATTATATAATATAACCAATCCAACATCTGATTTTTCAAGCAGATTAGGCAGATTTTTGTTTTTTCAAATCCCATAACAAGGTATAAATGCAAAACAATAGCTGTCAAATTTGCTAGCAATCTTTGGCAAAAATTGCCCAGTCTATGATGCGTCACTCTTGAACGTCGTAATGGGTGTCGAATCTGTTGTTCGGTGTCTCTTGGAGAAGAATTTCGCTGTACACAAGCGGAACACAGACATAGCGAACTCAAATATCTCCCCCACAGTAATGGCGGACAGTCCCAACCAAAGACCTAGCTGTCCTCCAACATCAGAGATCAGGTTCTGGGACTGAAAAGACAGTTATGACGTATAAAACGGTCAATCAAAAAAGAAGAAAGCACACACTTTTGAGAACGTTACATAGGAAGATACTTGGATGAGTACTCCTCCATGGCACCTAACACCACATCTTATGTTTTGGATGTCCGCATTGCTTTGCTCCTATTTTATAATGTTTTATAGACTTTTGATCTTGAATACTGTTCGTTATTTCCATATATTTCATTTGTATTATCATTTTACTAACAGTGTGACAGTTTGTTTGCTTGATGTGGCGTGCTAAAATTTTGTGTGCTGATTTTCATTTTACTCATCGATTGGATGCTTTATTTCAATGGAATCAATTCTAATTTGCATATGGAACTCAGAATACAACAATATCCTGACAATACTGGCCAATCACATTGAATGATTGTTCACCAGTGTGGTATTTGTACTCACCAGCAACACGTAGTCAGTCAAAGCCGTTCTCTGTCCTCAAAAAAGCATGTATTATATTTGTTATAATTTGACCGGATGGTTTTATATACGTATAAAAAAAATTCAGAGAATGGAATTTGTACGGCTACTCTGCTACTGTTGTACTATGTACGAGGGTTGATCCAAAAGTAATGTCACTGTGTCCATATCTTTAATATTTGACGTCATATTATCAAACATAATGCACCAAAAGATGCATAAACATAAATCTAATCAAAATTGAAAATTTCATTTAATAATGTTCAATTGAATTCATTTTATAGATGTTTAAAACATTAAACAAAGGGGGTGTCGCCGCGTCACAACTAAACGTCAAGTTTTAAAGTTAATATTGTTAGAATGATAAAAGACAAACACGTTTAAAAAAGTATCTAAAAATCGTCTAATCGTCCAATATTTTAAAAGACAAAACTTACGACATTTTCTAATCTTTAGTTAAAAATTAAATGGCAGCATTGTTTTTTTTTTCATCATCAACAGTATTGTTTATATCTGATGTATTGCAGAAAACTAATGCCGAAATGGAATAAAACACCGAAACGAGTTGTAATGTATTTTTCTTCAAAATCGGGAAATAACGAGTAGAAACAGTCATGATGGTAAATCAAACTCGCAGAGGAAAGAATGTTAACAAGAGACTTGTTCATAGATAGTTTCAGAGATTTCGGGCGGGTAATAGGTAAATATATGATCATTTGGGGACAGGAATACCGAAAGATAGGAGGTCGGGTGGAAACGTTCAATGGCGTCGACGTTGTCCTAAAAGAGATTAGTGGCAGTTTGAGTGATATGAGACACTTTTAAGTTTGTCTTATGGTATTGTTCAAAGAATTTTGATGAAGGATTAAATTATAGATAAAGTGTACAATTGGTGCCAATTGTTCTTAAAGAAAATAAAATATGTGAATGTTTTGTGAATATCAATTTTTTTTAAATAAAACGATGGGATGGCGTTTTTAAAAGTGTATGACCGCGCATATCCGTTTTATGACGTTATTTAGGTGCGGCGACTACCATAATCGCACTTTGTGTTTAATTCGATATTTTGAAAAGTTTAAATCATTTTTATTTGAATTTTTCAGGACTGATTTAAAATAAATATAGCTTCCATCATGTAAAATTTTGTTAATTTATGTCGACTAGAAGAAATTTTATCGAAGTTGTGACATTACTTTTGGATCAACCCTCGTACATGTAGCTATCGATATCACCATTATAGGTTTTAAAACTTGCTTTGTCCGTCCACGTGTAATTGTTGTTTACTGCATGCTAGTAAACATGTGATTCAATACGATTGGTCAGTATTTTCAGTGGTATTGTTGTGTTCTCTGTTTCATATGCAAAGTATTATTGATTCCATTGAAATCAATCGTCCAATCGATGAGGAAAATGATAATCGTCATACAAAATTTAAGAACGCCCTATCAAGCAAACTATCACGCTGTTTGTAAAACGATAATAATTAGAGAAGAAGTCGACACAAAAATAAAACTGCATGCTTGATCGTAAAGTAACTGGACATGCAGGGCCATCATGGAATAAAAATATATAATATAATACAATTTTGTTAAATTGTTATTGATAAAGACTTAGAACTCAATAGTCTGGTCCGACTCGGCGTAAAACAATATACAACCAATCAACACTCAAGGAACAATACATTTATGTTCAAATGTTAAAAGTCTATTTTGTTTTCCAAAACTTTATGCAAAACGAAGAAGAGGTACTGTGAGCAATTAGCTCACTAAATGATACCCCCATCACCCATATGAATACACAGTGTCCATGTTTTGCTATGTGGAACCCAAAATATGTGTTGGATCAAAAAGTAAAAGAGGAGGTGCACAATGGCAATATGTAATAAAGATTCTGTGAAAGTTTATCAAATTTCACTCAGTGGTATGATACGAGTTGCGTAAAAGACGGACGGACGTACGGACATACCGACTACTCTATACCCTCCCGCTTTTCAATCGGGAGGGGGGTGTATAAAAAATCTCTGATATTCAAGACAATTGTAGCTCTTTATTTCGTGACCGCGTATAGATTTGTTTTCTTTTAGGGTAGAAAGGTCGTTCTATTAGCATGAAAATTCTCAAACTTCATCATCTGGAATCACATTGTGTGCATATTTTGGTGAGAAAAGTTGTAAAATTATGCAATTTAATAGCGCCTGCAGATTCCTCGTGATTCCTATCACTTACAAGCTTTCGTACCAATAGGCCTAAGCCATTCTTGAATTCGATCTAATCAACACTTCTCTTGACAACAAAATTTTCTTGAACACTCCAAGAACTTTACAAGGCAACTTGACCCACACTTCTTCGTTAGGATAGTGTAAAGTTGTATCAAGAATCGAGGGAGGATTGAACACAAACATTTTCTTCTTTCAGATTTTGTAAATTTCAAAATTTTTAAATTCATATACCCTGTTCAATACAAAATTGGTTGAGGGGGACCGTTCACACCATGAAATATTTGAGAATGCAGTTGAATTTTTGACTGAGAATAACAAAATGCAAATGTAGGGACACAGAATCAGAGCTGGACAATCAAAAAAATTTATGGTTTACGTATATTACACTGATAATTCTTAATAAATATGTTTATGTTTGGATATTATAATATATTCAGATTTATATGATGTAACAATTACTAGCCCTCTAATTGCTCGTGGTTCATCATTTTAAAAATCATGCTAAGTTATGTTGCACTAGATCTTCCACATGAACATAAACATGTTTTTTTTTTCTACACTGGCCTAAAATTAGATCAAGAATTTCTAAAAACTGATATGATTTAGAAACCCTCTAACTACAATGTTCACTCGCCTTAATGCTCGGTGAATACTGCTCTTGGGGTAGCGTAATTTTCATATTGTCCTCAAAACAGCAATTATTGTATGATATTATTAAATTTTTATATGAAGAAGCATGATACATGTACATGTATGACGGTTAATAGGGGAAATGTCTTCGGAATTGTCGTCAAAAATTTATCTTAATAATAGAAGTAATTAAACAAAAATCCGTTTTATAAAAACCCTAAGTCATTAATGAAAATATTCATTAACTTTCATTACATATTTGAACATTATTTCATGAATAAAGAAAAACCTGTTATTTATTTACGGCAAAACAAATCAGAATTAAGCAGTCTGGGTATTTTACAAAATCAAGTGTATAAAACGTCATTCGAATTGCCATTTTGAGCTAAATAACACATTTTAAACTTAAACGACTAAATTTTCCGATTTAAAGTGATCATACTAGTGTTCTATTGGAATTTTACATAAATGTACATCGCTCAATAAGATATTCACAAATCCTTTCTCCTATGTAAACGAAATTAAGAAATAATTTGAAAAAGAGGAATATCCGCCATTTTGAATCGCCATTTTGACTTTTAACTTACAGCTGCACCATTATTCAATTGTAGAATAGTGAGATGTGGAGGAAAAAATACAAATCTGCAGTGTATGGATATTTGCAAATGTAAAATCCTGAACAAAGAAGAATTAAGAAACAATAGACAAATAAATCAGAGAAAATTCAAATTAAGTGTAAAAACGGCTAAATTTTCTGAGTTAAACTGATAATGTTAGCATTCTACATGTATTATATTTTTTTTTTATAGTTTTATTACACTTAGTAAGATATTCACTCATTACCTCTCCATTTTGAACGACATTAAGAGAAAATTAGAAAAATTGGATGTCCGCCATTTTGAATCGCCATTTTGACCTCTTTAACGCCATTTTCATGAAGGTCAGCATATTTTTTCGGATTCAGCATACTCGAATTAGGTTAAAAAACTATGCTAGACCAAATAATAATTATTTGCCGTTAGAAGTTATTTCCAGCCTTCTTTTTAAAAATCAGGACCAGATTACAATTTGATATCGTTTTGCCTTTGGCTTTTGTGTAAGCGTGTTGGTATCTTAAAGGCAAATGCAAACCTCATACGCCTTTTGGGATTCGATGCTTTCATATGTCATCTCAGCAAAAAAGATTTCCAGTTTTACAAGATTATTATCCCTGCAAAGACAGAAATAAATTATACCATTACTACAAATAATTGCTCAGTTGCATATTCGTCGACGAATTTTTTCTTCCTTTCATGGAGGTAGAATGGACTGTTAATTGCATATTGCAGGGAAAATATTAACTTTTTATTAAAAAATGGTTTACTTTGCAGATAGATATATAAATTGCAAAACTGGGGTTGGAAATTGTTTTTTTAATTTTTGATGGCTTAATTAAGGAAACAAAACAAATGTTTCTTCGACTTTTTGTAATGGTTTTCTAAACGTACATTTTAGTTTTCTGTCCCCCTGACATGTACTCGCTTGTGGTCAGCTTCATACGACTCTCAAGTTGTCCTGTTATAAAAAAAAAAAAAAGAGGAAAAGAGTTAAAGATTTTACGTCAAGCTACAGTTTGCAGATTATCATATCTTTTTTGACAATTCAAATTTTAAATAAACACATCTCAAACTGGAATGGCATTAAGAGGCCTGGGTGGCTGTGGCCATTGTCAGACGATATTGATCTCCTTTAGAAAAAGAGCTCCATATTAAGATATACAAAAATGATTAAATGTCAAGCTTAAAATGTATGAAAAAATTCTTTCCCAAATAATAGTTGACACATTAAAAAATCACATCTATAAAATTAAGTTAATCTGATGGTAAAATTTGATGACCCCGTAGCCTCCTTAAAAAGCGCCTTATTAATGTTTTTAGAGCCCCGTAAACGAAGTTTCGGGGGCATATAGTTTTTATTGTGTCGGTCCGTCTGTCTAGCTGTTTGTCCGCAAAAACTTTATCCTTCTCCATAACTTTTGGTTTAATGAAGCTATGACTTTCATATTTCACTTGTGTATTCCATATGACAAGACCTTTTCTTGGGTACCACCAAATTTGACCTTTTGACCTTGACCTTGGAGTTTGACCCACTTTTACTCAAAAATTCCAAATTTTTACTTTGGCCATATTTTTAAACAGTAGAAACCAGGACATTCATACTTCACCTGTGTATTTTTTATTGAAAGACCTTTCATTGGATACCAACAACCTTGACCTACAGACCTTGACCTTGGAGATTTACGTACCTTGGCCATAATTTTCAAACGGTAAAGGATAGGGCTTTCATACTTCAAATATGTACTACTTCTGAAAAAAATTTTCATGAATAACAAGAACTTTATCCTTTTGACCTTGACCTTGGAGTTTGACCTACTTATAAAAAAGTGAACCTTGAGCATAACTTTAAAGGGTTAGGGCTAGTGCTTTCATACTTTACATATTTAATTCTTGTAACAAGACCTTTCATTTGATAGGAAGACCTTTGACCCTTTGACCTAGACCTTGGAATTTGACCTACTTTTAAAAAATTTTAACCTTAACTTCTGAACGGTTAGGGCTAGGGTTTCCATACTTTACATGTCTTTCATGTGGCAAGACCTTTTAATGGATACTAATTACCTCAACCTTTTGACCTTAACCTTGGAGAATTTTGTACTTATGAAAAAACTTTTGAAAAAAATTTTGGCAATATTTTTTGAACGCTTAGGGCTAGTGATCTCATACTTCACCTATGTAATCCTTGTGAGAAGACCCTTCATTGGATACCAAGAACTTTGATCCTTTGACTTTGACCTTGGAGTTTGACCTACTTTTAAAAAGCAGACCTTAACCATTACTTTTAAAGGGTTAGGGCTAGTGCTTCCATACTTTACATATTCAATCCTTGCGACAAGACCTTTCATTTGATAGCAAGACTTTTGACCTTGATTTTGGAGTTTGATCTATTTTTTTCAAATTTATAATCTTTGACATACAACTTCTGAATGGTAAGGGCTAAGGCTTCTATACTTTATATATGTATTTTTGTGTCAAGACCTTCCATTGGATATCAATGATCTTGACCTTGAAGATTTCAATACTTATAAAAAGACTTTAACCTTGGCCTACTTTCATATTTCACAATTGTATTTCCAGAGAGAATACCCTACTTTTGGTACAAATTGCATTTAAGAAAAGTTTAATCTTTGCTATGTTGCCATATGGGGGCGTTAGTGTTTCACAAACACATCCTGTTTCTTCTAAGGTTGGATTGAAATGTTCTGTTTCGCAAAAAATGTTCTAAAAATAAGGTGTAAATTGCTCACTTCATAGGCTTCAGAGGGCCAGGCAGAAGCTGTTACCATGGTTTCATACTTATTTCCTCTAAGAAAGAAAAAATTGAAATAATATTTCAAGATTAATGCATTAATGAAAATTGTTCAAGCATTTACGTATAGATAATTGTTTACATCATATTATGTAGCAAAAAGTATTTCAAAATATTACAATCAATGCATTTTCGTGCATCACTTTAAATGTATTCAACGTAAAGAGCACTAACCAGAAATAAAATAAACAGACTAGATTAAGGATCAATGTTTCTATTATATTCACTACCAGGTGGTTGGACATTTCATTTCATTTTAAAACGATGTTCTCAGTTTCACAAGGCCAAGGGTCCCAAGTCAACACGTTGTCCAACGTCAATATGTTGAATCTGGCCCCTTGGTCTAGGGCCATAAAACTTAAACGAGCTCACTTTTGATCACAATCTCACATTTCCACGATTAATTCCTATTTGGAAAAAGAGAGACTCAGCTCAAAAGTAACTTCTTCTACAATTTATGGCCCCCTGGACTGATGGTTAAGGACTTAAACCTCTAGACAACTCACTGACAGGTGCTTGGACATTTTTCTTCACAGGTGTCCCAAGTCTTTATCGTCTCCATGGTACAAATTTCTGTTGGAACAAAGATGCATATTTGAAAGTTAAAATGGACTTATTCTGAAAAATGTTACTTTGATATGAGGTGACATGGGGTAAATTTAAAGAAAAATTCGGCGGAATAAATTAAATTGATATATGTTTAATTAAGTGTATAAATGGTATACATTCTGAAATTTACACCAGCTTTTATTGGGTCTTTTCATTTTACATAAAAAGGTTTAAATGATCTTAGTCGCTTGCCCAGATTTCTTGTAGCAACTGTTCGTAAATATCGACACATAATGATTATTTTAATTAGATAAAAAATATAAGATTTTGCATGCATGGAATAAATATGTTTGCAAATATAGACCAGACGTGTTTTGAACCTCTTCAAGTAATTTAGCTTATATCAGTTAATAATGAGAAAATGGATTGTTCCATAGCATTTTTAAGTTTAACTTCTATGTAATATTGCAAAATTGTAATGGTAAATGTACAATTATCATGTGAATAACATAAACGGTTAGATTATTTGATTTGTTAAATTTTATAGAATGCTGGATTTATGTGTTACGAGTTAAATTGGAATCATACCACGTTCAGACGAAATTTAGAGCATCAATTTAAAGAAAAAATATGGGAACACATGTATATAAACGTAAAGAAATCTTTGTTTATTTTTTAACACCCATTCAAGAATTTTTCACTTACAAAGAAGAAAAATGCGTATATGCTTGTATATTATTTATTTGGACAATCACCACGATAAGAGAAAAGTTAATTTTTGTAATCATTTGGCATGATACTTACTAATGTTTTCGTTATCGTAATTACAGATGTTAGTGACATTTTTAGAAACGAAGAAGTTTGAGCACGCGCAGTCACAATAATCTATCAGCTTCTGCTGATAGCAGCTTTTTAGACAGGTGCGTCTGTGGTAACTGAACTCATATCGTTTCATGTATTCATCCACATTTGTTGGATTACTGGAGCAGTTTCCGTGCTGGGGTTCAAGGCGACTGATGTACACCTAAAGAGACCAAAAAAGGTTAATATTTCATCAAACGATAAACGCCATTGCTTCATATTTTACTTTCCAATCTTATTCTATATTTCTTCATTGTTGAAAACCTTTTTTTCTATGCTTAGATGTTAAAATGCATAAGGTATATTTTATTCTGGCATTTATAAATACAGAAGAAATCGATATAGGAGTTGGCATGTATTAAAAGCGAAAAATCCATTTCAAAATTGGTTGAAAAATAAAAATTATATTTGTAATTTTTATATGAGACCAATTGTTATAATTTTGTATGCAATATAGAATAAGCAATAAAGATTTTTGTTTTTTGTTTTGTTTTTTAAATATAATCATGATTTCCATTTAATACAAGGACATTTATTTGTTAAATGTATGTGAGATAATAAAAAAAGAGAGATTATTTTTAATAAGCTAATAAAAACAACGAAATTTTTCACCCAGAGTTGTTTAATGATTCAAAATTTAAAAGAAAAAAGTAGGGAATGACTGAAGGATATGCAGATAACAAACACTCGGTTAAATTATTCGAGTATGACCTGGTTTGGCCCATTTTACGCTGTTTTTATCATCCGCGAATGCATAGAATATATCTAGTTCTTTTTTTGAAGTACGACATTCATTGTTAGGGTCTCTTGAGTCTCAATGTCATTTATTTGTGAATATGTACATTTATGCAAAACTGTAATCCTTAATTGAAATAATTTCTCGAGAAGCTGATTTTTGTGATCCTATGGTGAACATGAAGAGGATACATGTATAACTATCAAGAAATGGTTATGGCGTATCTGACTGACACCAGTAAAAGATCTAGATCATTATGATGGTAAAGTATTAAGGTGAACGAAAACGTTTTGTCTTGACGTAAATACTTCTTTATAAATCTTTTATGGTATAGTGTTGCTAATGGGACATTAGAGAAAAGTTTACTTATTCAGTTTTGTTGGATTCAACGTCCATGACTGTCTTGATAGAATTTCAATTTTGATATCAATTATTTGTCCTAGTTACTGTCTCCTAGACAAGTTTTTCTGAACATTTTTAATTCCCAAATCGGGTTCAGGCCACATGGTGTACTTTTTAGTCTCATTAAAAATCCATCATTTTGTAAGTTTATGGTCAATACAATGACCTTATCAGCAAATATAATTTGTCATTGAATCAAATGCTGACTTTTTACGAAATACTGATTACATGGGTAGAATGAAGAACGCAAACAGATGATTCCTAGAAACTAGAACAAATACGTAAATCCGGAAACAAAGAAACGTTCCAAATGTTGACCGGTCAACATCCGTCTTGCACCCTATTATTCGATAGGTGTACGGAATATTCTGTAGGTAAATTAGTAATAAAACAAAGACTTGGTAATTAGAATGAAACATGTCAGCCATAATACTACACAATTACTGGTTATATTTGCTTTGAAGGTCATTATGTGGACTACAGAATGTACTAAATGCCTACTGTGATATAAGTCTGTGAAACCCTTGTAGCATTAACTTATTCGTGATTAGGATAACAGGCTTCAAAAAAATGATTGTATGCAGTGCAAGCTCTTGATTAGCGAATACGTAAAAGACATTAAAACCATTAGCTGGTGGTGACAGAGTACAAACAACGGTAAAATAGAAGATGAAAAAGTTAAAGCAATCTCCTTTGCCATACCATGTAAAATTTAGTTGTTAAATAGTCCTTTGTATACATGTATATATAATCAGTAAAACATCCAAACCTAAAATAGATGTAAAAGTTTCTGTAATTACTTTAATTTCAAGTTAACATGGGTATATCGAGTCGACATATAAATGTTAATTACTTGTTAATTGATAATTGATAACTCAGATTCGATATATCTGAATGTTCAAACTGAAGGCCACAGCAAGTGTTTTCTTCTCGTTTAAAGGTTTTTGAATTTTAAATAAATTCTGCTTATATGTTAATATAAAATCATCCCCAGCTAATAAATGACACAGTTACTGCTCTTTGGACTCCAAACATTTTGTTGGAAAACTTGGTCTCCGAAATCTTAAAAGATGTTGTATATTAGAACTCGAGCATCCTTTCAATATTAAATTCAGAGCTTTAAATGCATCCTTAATTAATTAATTACTGCTTGACTAATTATAACTGTCTATAGTTTCTACTATCATAATTAAATATTCATAATCCTTGCTTACAATGCTTGCTTGTAATCTCGTTTCGGTTTCATTCATGTCAATATTTTAAAGTAAACAAAATAGAAACATGACTCAAGTTGCTCCGATTGCATGTCCATTTACAGAACATCTTCAGCGGCAGGGGGCTTAGGCGGTCCCCTGACAACGCCTTACTATTTTTCATTTATTATTCTTTAATTTCAAGTTAACCATGTTAACATGGGTATATCGAGTCGACATATAAATGTTAATAACTTGGTAATTGATAATTGATAACTCAGATGCGACATATAGGAATGTTCAAATTGAAGGCCACAGCAAGTGTTTCCTTCTCGGTTAAAGCTTTTTGAATTTTAAATAAATTCTGCTTATATATTTATATAAAATCATCCCCAGCTAATAAATGACACAGTTACTGCTCTTTGGACTCCAAACATTTTGTTGGAAAACTTGGTCTCCAAAATATAAAAAAAAGTTATCTATTCGAACTCGAGTATCCTTCCAATATTAAATTCAGAGTTTTGTATATTTTAAGGTATCCGAATCATAGTACCCTCAGATAAAGATAATATTTATTTGAAGTCGGTTACATCACATTTTATCTTTATCTAAGGCTAGAATTGATCAAATAATTACATGAAAAAACACAGATGCTAAACATCTCAGATGCAATGAATTCGAATGCATAACATATTTATGTTTACCGATTACTCAGTATAAGTAGACATAATCTTCATATTTTGGTCTCAATATGTAAGAGCGGAATGTGTCCTAATATTTTACATTGACCCGTCCTTGAAGAGTTATCATCCTTTGCTTTTAATCAATAAAATTCATTTTAACAAAGTCTACCTGGTGTAGAATTATATTTTAATCGTTTTTCTATTCTTAATAGTTATATACATCTTTCCAACTTAGCATTTTTGAAATTCGTAGTATTTAATTTTTTTTAAAAAACATTTGTTCGTTCCAAAAGACTTAAATGCATCCTTAATCAATTTATCAATCAATTACTGCTTGGGTAATTATATTTTTGAATATTTCTCCTGGTAAATGCTTTTCTACTCTAAACTGCGTCGAATTAGTTTCAATGTATTGAATACAGGATGGAAATTTATGGTTAGAAAATTATGTCCTTTTATGGGTCGGATACCTTAAAGAAGTAGTTTTGCTGATGACAAATCAAATAATGTGAGTCTAATTTTTATTGACGCAGTTGGCTATGATATTAAGAAGCATAGTTTTAAATTTAACTAGAGGAATTGTTGTAGAAAGAGTAGAATTGTAAGTTTTGACCATTTTAGGACGTTGATTGATCATTCGATAGACTAAATGGTGGAGTTTCATCATGTTTACTTCCTGTGTATATATCTCTGAGGAAAAAATCTACATGTAAATCAGGATTTTTATTCAGTATGAAAACCTTAGAAAATAATCAACAAAAACAAGATAAGATCACAATCATACAGTTTAAATTCTTCAGAGTCATGAGACCATTAAAAAAAATGAACTGGAGGATTTTAAAAAAACATTGCTGTCACAAATTTAAGGTGTGCATTTAAATTTACATGGGGTCGGAAAAAAAGTCTCATACAAACATACAAACAAAAACGGAAAAAATGTTTTGTTGCATCAAAGACTCCTTATCAAATATTTGCATTAAAGTCGAAGGCATGAATGTCTAATGGAAATGAGAGGTTTTACCATTAAAATCTATGCGGAAGAAATACCCAACCTGTTGAAATGAATCCTGCTTCAATGTATCGTAAAAACTGTATTATAAACGTTTGTTATATGAATATGAGGAAACTTGTATTATATGATTTTACATTTGCCTTATCCAACAAATTAAATAGTACTTATTGCGATTATTCACCATCTCAGATAGTTATATAGATGAAGCAAAAAAAATTATGTCACATTTTAATTTTTTTTTCATTTTCTTTCTGTTTTTAACAAAATATGATATACTCCTAAAATGTCCGCCATTCTGATTTACAGTTTTTCTGAATCAAGGATACATTTGCTAGTTTGATGAAACTTATTCTGTTGGTTAATATACAGATATAGATAAAGATTAAAAGTAGGAAAAATTGAAATCATCGACGCCTAATTTTGAAACATAAGACAGATAGAATTAAGATTTTTTTTTTCATGCAACTTTTGAATGGTCAAAGAATAAAGACCCAAAAATAAGAATTCTTCCTAAGGAAACAATCCTTAGCATTTTGTATACGGCATCACACCTGTTAGACTGTATATAAATGTAAAATGTGAAGAAAACGAACAAAAATTATGATCGATCTAGAAAAAAGCTATAAACAGTACAATTATTTATGATAAGTATGTAATGCTTTTATGAGAGTTAATATGATGTTTTAAATGGTTGTTTATCTTCGCCTCTACATTATATAATATAACCAATCCAACATCTGATTTTTTAAGCAGATTAGGCAGATTTTTGTTTTTTTCAAATCCCATAACAAGGTATAAATGCAAAACAATAGCTGTCAAATTTGCTAGCAATCTTTGGCAAGAATTGCCCAGTCTATGATGCGTCACTCTTGAACGTCGTAATGGGTGTCGAATCTGTTGTTCGGTGTCTCTTGGAGAAGAATTTCGCTGTACACAAGCGGAACACAGACATAGCGAACTCAAATATCTCCCCCACAGTAATGGCGGACAGTCCCAACCAAAGACCTAGCTGTCCTCCAACATCAGAGATTAGGTTCTGGGACTGAAAAGACAGCTATGACGTATAAAACGTTCAATCAAAAAAGAAGAAAGCACACACTTTTGAGAACGTTATATAGGAAGATACTTGGATGAATACTCCTCCATGGCACCTAACACCACATTTTATGTTTTGGATGTCCGCATTCCTTTGCTCCTATCTTATAATGTTTTATAGACTTTTGATCTTGAATACTGTTCGTTATTTCCATATATTTCATTTGTATTATCATTTTACTAATAGCGTGACAGTTTGCTTGATGTGGCGTGCTAAAATTTTGTGTGCTGATTTTCATTTTACTCATCGATTGGATGCTTTATTTCAATGGAATCAATTCTAATTTGCATATGAAACTCAGAATACAACAATATCCTGAGAATACTGGCCAATCACATGGAATGATTGTTCACCAGTGTGGTATTTGTACTCACCAGCAACACGTAGTCAGTCAAAGCCGTTCTCTGTCCTCAAAAAAGCATGTATTATATTTGTTATGATTTGACCGGATGGTTTTATATACGTATAAAAAAAATTCAGAGAATGGAATTTGTACGGCTACTCTGTTACTGTTGTACTATGTACATGTAGCTATCGATATCACCATTATAGGTTTTAAAACTTGCTTTGTCCGTCCACGTGTAATTGTTGTTTACTGCATGCTAGTAAACATGTGATTCAATACGATTGGTCAGTATTTTCAGCGGTATTGTTGGGTTCTCTGTTTCATATGCAAAGTATTACTGATTCCATTGAAATCAATCGTCCAATCGATGAGAAAAATGATAATCGTCATACAAAATTTAAGAACGCCCTATCAAGCAAACTATCACGCTGTTTGTAAAACGATAATAATTAGAGAAGAAGTCGACACAAAAATAAAACTGCATGCTATGATTGTAAAGTAACTGGACATGCAGGGCCATCATGGAATAAAAATACCCGTACGAAATTCAGAGACGTATTACGCCTGGATTTTTTGCAAATCCTGGCGTACAAGAGACGTATTCTTAAAAATACGGTTCATTTTCAGGCGTACACGTATTTTTGCCAGAAATACGTCTCCTTTTTTCCAGGCGTAATTTCTAAATCCGGGCGTATTTTCTACTTAGTCTCTTTGGCACAAGGAATTTAAAACTTAGAAAATTTCAAAAGGCGTATTTTTGAAAACTCTGGTGGATTTTTCAACTTAGCCAAAAAAACTTAGTCAGCTCATTCTCTTTTTTAAAAAGTATTGAGTTACATAAGAAACATTTTTATGATATTATATAACTGAAACAAAAAACAACATATTTCATGATTATATACATTACAATTTTGCATTTAGTTTGTAATTATATTAAATATTATTCAAAGCAATTATTTTTCATAAATTAAACTGATTTATTTAGAACTTTGTCCCATGGACCTGAAATTTTGTCATTCCCATTTTTTTTAAAAATTGATATTATTTTTCTTAACACAAATGATTTCTATAACTGTAAAGTAAATAGTATATATTCTTTGAACTTCATGATTTGTTTAGTCAGGCTATAAACATACATGTTATTACATCATTTAAATGTTTTTCTTATAAAATGCTTTATATTTGGTATATGCAGATACTATTACATTACCATCAACTTTCACTTCCCTACCCTAACCTGCTGGGATTGTGCTGATTACTTACAGATGTGTTGAGCATGTTTAGGAACAACTTATCTGTGATGTTGTAAACCTTTCTAAGAACGGCTTATCAATTTACATCCGGTTTGTGTACAGCAGCTCTATTTCCCACCCTAATTATCTTTAAAATAAGTGAATTCATATAGTGAATACACCTTGTTTATACATTGATGGAATTTTATTTTTATGTTGTGTAAACAAAACAGCATTTTTTCTTCAATTTACAAATTGTACTGAGTAGAACTTCCAGAAATCATAAAACTGTTTAGCTAACTAGGGGGTTGTAAACAACAGCATCTGCATCCAAGTATTTGCGCCAATTTTAAACCACCAGGCAGGTCATGCCAAGAACAATGAGATTAGAGAAAGCCACAACAAAGCACAGATTGTGTAGAAGAGGTAATTATTTTGAAAACATAGCTTAACATTGAAACTTTTTATCTATGAAAAAAAAGACAGCTAAATTTGCTTTTGATTTGCAGAGCCAGATGTTAATGATTGAAAATTGGGTCAGTAGTATTTTGAATTACATAAATTATTTTCTAGTGTTTTTCTTTTTCCAGAAAATGATTTACATCTAAATACTTATCACAGTTGGAAAATTGATTGAATGATGAAATGGTCATAAGAGGAGGAGAAAAGATATTGCAATATTAAGAGTTGACAGACCAGCTTTCCATAATTGCAATTGCCAGTGAACTGCAGCCATTGGAAGAATTGCATCAGGAAGAAGATGTCACCTGTTTGCAATGCCAGTTATAAAACATTCAAACTTCTTTTTGTGAATATTTCAATCTATGAAAATGTGATTAGGGAATGTGATGTGAAACGTGAATGACAGAAAAGCTTGTGATTTGCATTTTTTATGCCAATTTAGGAGTAAAAAGAATGACAGGAGTACTCCACATGATTCTCAAAACTGTGATTCACTGTGATTGCTGGAATGTTTCAACTGTTTTACTACAAAACTCAGCCTTGGATGTAAAAATGCTGTGAAATGGTTAATATAATTCTAACATGTAACTGTGCTTTGAAATAGTAAATGTAAGATTATGATTTTTTAAATTTTAACGACAATCCTTTATTTGAATCTTATTCACATTTTATCACACTGAAAAATATTCAGAAAATAAAAGTGATGTATGCTTAGCTTAATTTGTCTAATCTTTTTTAGTATATGTAGTCAAAAATCTTTGTACTTAAGTTGATTGTACATTTATATTCATGCTAAAGTTGTAGCTCCCATTGCAGTAATGTAATTAATATTTAATTCAAATCTATTTTAAGCATGCATATTTTTTGTACAGGCGTATTTTTTTTGTACGGGCGTATTCTTTAATACGGGCGTATTTATTTTGCAGGCGTATTTTTAAGGGTATGCTTGAAATCTAGGCGTAATTCTATTATTAAAATTTCCAGGCGTATTTTAAATTTCCAGGCGTACTCATTTGCATATTTCGGCCAAAAATACGGGAGGATTACGCCTCGTGTACGCCCGTATTTTACATTATACGCCTGGTTTTATATATTCATTTCAATAGAGATTTCCACAAGGATTTTTAGATGAAAATACGCCTGGATTTCTTTGAAAATACGTGACTTAAATTTCGTACGGGTATATAATATAATACAATTTTGTTAAATTGTTATTGATAAAGACTTAGAACTCAATTTGATATCGTTTTGCCTTTGGCTTTTGTGTAAGCGTGTTGGTATTTTAAAGGCAAATACAAACCTCATACGCCTTTTGGGATTCGATGCTTTCATATGTCATCTCAGCAAAAAAGATTTCCAGTTTTACAAGATTATTATCCCTGCAAAGACATAAATAAATTACAAATAATTGCTCAGTTGCATATTCGTCGACGAATTTTTTCTTCCTTTCATGGAGGTAGAATGGACTGTTAATTGCATATTGCAGGGAAAATATTAACTTTTTATTAAAAAATTGTTTACTTTGCAGATAGATAATTAATAAATTGCAAAACTGGGGTTGGAAATTGTTTTTTTTATTTTTGATGGCTTAATTAAGGAAACAAAACAAATGTTTCTTCGACTTTTTGTAATGATTTTCTAAACGTACATTTTAGTTTTCTGTCCCCCTGACATGTACTCGCTTGTGGTCAGCTTCATACGACTCTCAAGGTAGTCCTGTTTAGAAAAAAAAGAGGAAAAGAGTTAAAGTTTTTACGTCAAGCTACAGTTGACAGATTATCATATCTTTTTTGACAATTCAAATTCTAAATAAACACATCTCAAACTGGAATGGCATTAAGAGGCCTGGGTGGTTGTGGCCATTGTCAGACCATATTGATCTCCTTTAGAAAAAGGGCTCCATATTAAGATATACAAAAATGATTAAATGTCAAGCTTAAAATGTATGAAAAAATTCTTTCCCAAATGATAGTTGACACATTAAAAAATCACATCTATAAAATTAAGTTAATCTGATGGTAAAATTTGATGACCCCGTAGCCTCCTTAAAAAGCACCTTATTCATGTTTTTAGAGCCCCGTAAACGAAGTTTCGGGGGCATATAGTTTTTATTGTGTCGGTCCGTCTGTCTAGCTGTTTGTCCGCAAAAACTTTATCCTTGTCCATAACTTTTGGTTTAGTGAAGCTATGACTTTCATATTTCACATGTGTATTCCTTATGACAAGACCTTTTTTGGGGTACCACCAAATTTGACCTTTTGACCTTGACCTTGGAGTTTGACGCACTTTTACTCAAAAATTCAAATTTTTACTTTGGCCATATTTTTAAACAGTAGAAACCAGGACATTCATACTTCACCTGTGTATTTTTTGTTGAAAGACCTTTCATTGGATACCAACAACTTGACCTACAGACCTTGACCTTGGAGATTTACGTACTTGTGAAAAAACTATAACCTTGGCCATAATTTTCAAACGGTAAAGGATAGGGCTTTCATACTTCAAATATGTAATTCTTTTGAAAAAAAAATTTCATGAATAACAAGAACTTTATCCTTTTGACCTTGACCTTGGAGTTTGACCTACTTATAAAAAAGTGAACCTTGAGCATAACTTTAAAGGGTTAGGGCTAGTGCTTTCATACTTTACATATTTAATTCTTGTAACAAGACCTTTCATTTGATAGGAAGACCTTTGACCCTTTGACCTAGACCTTGGAATTTGACCTATTTTTAAAAAAATTTTAACCTTAACTTCTGAACGGTTAGGGCTAGGGTTTCCATACTTTACATGTCTTTCACGTGGCAAGACCTTTTAATGGATACCAATTACCTCAACCTTTTGACCTTAACCATGGAGAATTTTGTACTTATGAAAAAACTTTAATTTTGGCAATATTTTTTGAACGCTTAGGGCTAGTGATCTCATACTTCACCTATGTAATCCTTGTGAGAAGACCCTTCATTGGATACCAAGAACTTTGATCCTTTGACTTTGACCTTGGAGTTTGACCTACTTTTAAAAAGCAGACCTTAACCATTACTTTTAAAGGGTTAGGGCTAGTGCTTCCATACTTTACATATTCAATCCTTGCGACAAGACCTTTCATTTGATAGCAAGACTTTTGACCTTGACTTTGGAGTTTGATCTATTTTTTTCAAATTTATAATCTTGGACATACAACTTCTGAACGGTAAGGGCTAAGGCTTCTATACTTTATATATGTATTTTTGTGTCAAGACCTTTCATTGGATATCAATGATCTTGACCTTGAAGATTTCAATACTTATAAAAAGGCTTTAACCTTGGCCTACTTTCATATTTCACAATTGTATTTCCAGAGAGAATACCCTACTTTGGGTACTAATTTATTAAATTTGCATTTAAGAAAAGTTTAATCTTTGCTATTTTGCCATATGGGGGCGTTAGTGTTTCACAAACACATCCTGTTTCTTCTAAGGTTGGATTGAAATTTTCTGTTTCGCAAAAATGCTCTAAAAATAAGGTGTAAATTGCTCACTTCATAGGCTTCAGAGGGCCAGGCAGAAGCTGTTACCATGGTTTCATACTTATTTTCTCTAAGAAAGAAAAAATTGAAATAATATTTCAAGATTAATGCATTAATGAAAATTGTTCAAACATTTACGTATAGATAATTGTTTACATCATATGTAGCAAAAAGTATTTCAAAATATTACAATCAATGCATTTTCGTGCATCACTTTAAATGTATTCAACGTAAAGAGCACTAACCAGAAAAAAATAAACAGACTAGATAAGGATCAATGTTTCTATTATATTCACTACCAGGTGGTTGGACATTTCATTTCATTTTAAAACGATGTTCTCAGTTTCACAAGGCCAAGGGTCCCAAGTCAACACGTTGTCCAACGTCAATATGTTGAATCTGGACCCCTTGGCCTAGGGCTATAAAACTTAAACGAGCTCACTTTTGATCACAATCTCACATATCCACTATTAATTCCTATTTGGAATAAGAGAGACTCAGTTCAAAAGTAACTTCGTCTACGATTTATGGCCCCCTGGACTGATGGTTAAGGACTTAAACCTCTAGACAACTCACTGACAGGTGCTTGGACATTTTTCTTCACAGGTGTCCCAAGTCTTTATCGTCTCCATGGTACAAATTCCTGTTGGAACAAAGATGCATATTTGAAAGTTAAAATGGACTTATTCTGAAAAATGTTACTTTGATATGAGGTGACATGGGGTAAATTTAAAGAAAAATTCAGCGGAATAAATTAAATTGATATATGTTTAATTAAGTGTATAAATGGTATACATTCTTAAATTTACACCAGCTTTTATTGGGTCTTAATTCAGTTTACATAAATTAAAGTTTAAATAATCTTAGTCGCTTGCCCAGATTTCTTGTAGCAACTATTCGTAAATATCGATACATAATGATTATTTTAATTAGATAAAAACAAAATATAATATTTTGCATGCATGCATGGAATAATTATGTTTGCAAATATAGGCCAGACGTGTTATGAAGCTCATCAAATAATTTTATAACTAATTTAGCTTATATCAGTTAATAATGAGAAAGATAAAGATATGAGAATTACAAATGGATTGTTCCATATCATTTTTAAGTTGAACTTCTATGTAATATTGCAAAATTGTAATGGTAAATGTACAATAATCATGTGAATAACAAAAACGGTTAGATTATTTTATTTGTTAAATTTTATAGAATGCTGGATTTATGTGTTACGAGTTAAATTGGAATCATACCACATTCAGACGAAATTTAGAGCATCAATTTAAAAAAAAAATATGGGAACACATGTATATAAACGTAAAGAAATGTTTGTTTATTTTTTAACACCCATTCAAGAATTTTTCACTTACAAAGAAGAAAAATGCGTATATGCTTGTATATTATTTATTTGGACAATCACCATGATAAGAGAAAAGTTAATTTTTGTAATCATTTGGCATGATACTTACTAATGCTTTCGTTATCGTAATTACAGATGTTAGTAACATTTTTTGGAACGATGAAGTTTGAGCACGCGCAGTCACAATAATCTATCAGCTTCTGCTGATAGCAGCTTTTTAGACAGGTACGCCTGTGGTAACTGAACTCATATCTCTTCATGTATTCATCCACATTTGTTGGATTACTGGAGCAGTTTCCGTGCTGAGGTTCAAGGCGACTGATGTACACCTATAGAGAACAAAAAAGGTTAATATTTCATCAAACGATAAACGCCATTGCTTCGTATTTTACTTTCTAATCTTACACAAAATGTTCAATACTTTGTTTATTTTTAACTTACTGAAAGTCTTTAATTTTTTTTTCTTTCTGTAACGTATTAACAAAGATTATATATATCATCACAAGATGAAAATCAGCAATTTCAGTGAACAGAAAAGTGACTTAATTTTAAGCTTCAAGCTTACTGAATGCTGATTAATGGGAGAAGTTTAAACTGGAGCCTTCTAGACAGATCATATTTTCAGACCTTTAAATGACAGTTCATTTGGCTGAAACTTCTGGAGGGATCACGTATGAAGACCTTTAATTGACCGTTCATTTGATTGAATGGCAGAGGTTTAAACTAGTGCCTTATGGACAAATTCCTACCCTTTTAAGCGCCACAGAGGTAGCCATGCCAGGAGCTATGGTAAAGCCGTCATCTTCGGGAAATGGATACGTCCCACGTTCGTGTATTGAAACACGAATTCCGGCATCCGGTGCTAAGGCAGATATGTACTCATCCTGCTGGATGTTGAACTCAAGCGTCATGCCTAGATTTGACATATTTTCATTAGAAAAAGAACTACTGAATTTAAATTTTTCATAGTTTTCGCCATAGAATTTGAGAATTGGTGGCCTAAGACTTTTTAAACTCTCGAAAAATGTATTCTTTTTCTATTCTTATACTAGTTTGTTTATCAATATACAGGTTAGAATAGTACATTGTATACTGTTATATAAAAAAAATGGGATGTTGACGATAAAGAAATTATCATTCAGTTTTAGAGTAAAATCATAAGTGTCTTCACTAGTTGAACATTCAAACATAAAACAATTCAGTTTTATCTTTTATTTTGGGTTCGATGGCATGCTTGAATGAAAATAAACATTGGATTTCGATAAAGTGCTGTTGATATGTATGTTGAATTATTTTTCTTTCATGCAAACGTTTCTGTGAAAATTTTGCTTCATATGAATATCCGTCAAGTTAGTAATTGCTTATCCTGTTACACTTTAATTCTAAACAATGTTATTGAATTAAATTAATGTTTCGTATCACAAATGATGAAAAGAAATCTAGGCACTATTTTCCCAATTTTATGAGAGTCGATGTATTTCAATAGAGATAGAGGATTACTTAAGCTTGATTTTAAAGCAGTCAGTGCTAAAAATTCATGATTTGAATCGATCAAATATAAATTGGACATGTCGTGTTGTGTTAATCCATAATTCTTTGAATTCAATGCTTCAGGTTAATGCAAATCATTTCACAGACATGAATCCTTGTTTTGAAAACTATATAGAAAGTTTTAATTGATGTTGGCAAGGGTTCATTCCACGGTTTATTTACTGACATTATTTAATTATTTCATTAATTAAGTCTGTATAAGGTTTCTCCTCGCTGTTTAATTTGAAGATAATTTTATTGACTATTCGATTGGTTTATGTAAATATATAACCCTATGAATACCTAAGTAGCATATTTCTTTATGTTCTTCTTTTCACTTAATTAGAAAGAAAACATTTGATCTAGAAAACTAGTAACAATTTATTGACAATTCAACATTAAAAAAATGCATGGTTCAATTGATAACTTTATCATACTAACTATATTTAAGATATATAGGCGATCAAAATACAGAACATTTATCTTTCCAACGGTGACGCGTATTTATTTCATTATCATTAAGTTCACTAATGTTTGCTCTCAGGACACGCGAGAATGTTTCAAAGAATTATCTATATTTGTTGTTCTCAATTTTGAAAGAAAAAAACTAATCTAGTTATTTGTGTTTCTTCCTGTTATTGATTTTTTCGTGACGATAATTCTTTTGTATAATCTCTAATTGACAGTGAACGTCATAATTTTGATTATTTCGAAATACACTTTTGACAACCATGCAGGTCGAATGAGGTTTCATCAAATTACATCTGAATTGCTTTATCGAACAAACTTATTGTCGCTTTCTGGAATATGTAATTATATGAGTAGATCCATATTAACGTTTTTGGTTTAAAACATTATGTACAATATAAATATATTTTGTTTCTTTTTATACAAGCAACTATAAATAATCTACATTATAATTTATTAATTATAACTTAAATGTAACTTATTTATCTTACTTATACACACCCTTAATTAATGAGTAACTGTACATACGTGTACATGTATGATGATGAAGATGCTAAAATCAATTTGATTCTTTCTTTGACGTGATACAGTGTTTCATAATTTTTTTTCTATTAATTTTCATTAAGTATATTTTGTTGTTGCTGTACGCTGTCGCAATATTTAATGTATGAAAGAATTAAACATTTTTATTTGTTTCGTTATCGGAACAATCAACAGTCCATATTATCCCGGAGAATAATTCTTCAAACTGTGACTTGTAAGATCTTGGTAATGTAAGCTCCGTCAACGCTAAACATTTCGGACGGCTGGTATTACATTCTTTAAGAAAAATTATCAATACATTTAAAGAGAAAGTTAACATTAAACGCAGTTCCGGGAACAATATCACGTAATTATTTAATATAAGGAAGTCAACCCAACAGTTCTGCTTAACCTGTATGTTGTTGTTTACGATTTCAGCTGTAAAACAAAACAGATTCCTGCATGTACCATTTTCTCGTTAGATTTCCTTCGATAATCGAATATTAAGAATTATACTTTCACACTCATATATTGCAACAATGAATCATTTTTGTTCAATTTTGATCAATAGACTCCATAAAAGATAGGAAGAAAACGAACTATTTTCTCAAAATGACAAGGAACAAATCCGTTGTCAAATTTTATTTACAAATATGTAACAATTAGTATTAAATCAAGTAGTCCAGTCAAATGACTATCCAATCAAAGGTAAAATTGCATTTTATTACAGTCACATTCTGAAGGCAATTACGAAATGCTGAGTAAAAATGAAGATGTTAAATTCCTGAAGAATTAACATATCTGCAGTAAATAACCTGACTTGGTGAAGAAATGGATCGAACTCAGAGCACACACTTGAGTTCGAAGACTAACTAACTCTTCTAAGTCAAACCAAGTAAGAAGACATCTGCAGCATCTTTATATGGCGATATATAGCATTAAATTGCTTGCTTGGTTGGCTACGCTGTTTTTGGTGAAGAAATCTGCCATTCGTTTAGAGAGGTCACCATATACTTATGAAGGGCATTAAATAACAACCTTTACTGCTCTACTTGGCAGTCAAGGTCATGAAATAGTATGGATTTTATATCATTCCATCCACTGCCATGACACAGAACCTCGGAATTCTTAGAGTTCTTATCTAAAAGACTAATAACTCTAACTGTGCCTGAAGCTTGGCGAAAAAATTAACTTACCAAATTACTCAATAATATATTAAATTACCATACATTAATGGGATAAATATATTCTTATTACCACAACTTTGATGAAAATTTTACTCTTAATAAAGCGATATATCATAACGGACACTCACAAAACAGAAAACTATTACGGGATATTTGAGAAAGAGAATGTTTTTAATATAAAAATTGTGGCTTTGTAATTAAGAATAAAATCATATGAGATGCATTTTGTTATATCTATACCGGTATATAAATGATGAGATACATTTAAATATTGTAGTGAAATAGCATATACAAAATGTTAATTAGTTACTTGTCAATAATTTGTTACTTACCCATTAGCGGGCCTGCATAGTACGTGTACAGCGGTGGATTTGGGTCTTTGATGGAGTTGAATGTGTAACAGTTCCCATATTTACTGTTGTGTAAGTAGGTGAAATTCCTTTGAAAAAAAAATAACATATTTTTATATGTATCTGAAAAACTGAAATGTAACTGATGAAATGAAAAAGAAATAAAAAGAAATGAAACATATTGAGATGACAAACAGGATTCAATATTAGAAGTCAATAAACAACACAAAATTGAAGCAGAGCAAACACGGACCTCCAAAACATCGGAGGTCAGATCAGGTGCCGTGGAGGAGTGATCATCCCCTGCCGATAGGGCACACACGACTTATGTTCCTTGTCATGTTCGGGAAATAACGGAAAACCCCTTTTCAATTCAGTGTTTTAATAATGGATTTACAATATTAGTATGAAAAACGTCAGTCAGCATTTGACTCAACGATATTTTGTGTTTGCTGACAAGATCATTGTATTGACCATAGAACTTATGAAGTGATGACTTTACACGAGACTGCTGAAATTCTTGTTAAAACAACTAGTTGGTCAATGATTTACCTCGTTTTACAAATTGTTTATACGTAGAGCATGTCCTTGTGTTTCGAAATTACTGAGATATATGTACTCCGTATGCAGGTGATGAAGGTATATTGCTACATAAGTAAGGGAAGTTTACGATAGAAAAGTTAGTCATCACGTTTATTATAGAGCTGGGTTATTAAATCACCATTAACGTCTTTTTCAAGTAAAATATCCACATATGAAACGGATGTGTCAGACTCTGTGGTATCTTTTATCTCAGGCTCACCAGGACATATCGTATCGACATAGGAATTGAAACTACCAATGTTGATTGGCAGTACGTCGTCGATATATCTAAATGTCGAGTTGAAGGCCGCTGCAAGTGTTTTCTTCTTTTCACGCATACGATTTTGCACAAATTCTGCTTCATATGAATACCAAAATAGGTCTGCTAATAACGGGACGCAGTTGGTACCTATGAGAATTGCAATAGATTGTGTGAAGACCTGGTCTCCAAAAACCACATAGATATTATCAATCAGAAACTCAGGCATCTTTTTGATGTCAACTTCAAACAAATGACAAATAAACAATACAAATAAACAAACAACGAAAAAATACTATCAAACAAAACGAAATAGAAGATAACAAACAATGCTCAATCCCACACATCCATTGAACCACTTCACATTGAAAGCAAAGCAAAAAGAGATTGGATCAGATGCCATTGATAAGTAAGAATCTCCTGTTGACCGGATATTAAAGTTTTGTGCCTCTTGACATGATTGGGCCAATGAAAATAAAAACCCCGAACCTAATATGAAAATAATGGTCAACTAAATCTGTATGAAAAACATCGTTCAGCATTCGATTTGCCGTAATTAAAGATTGTGTTTGCTAACAGGGTCGTTATATCAACAATATACTTTGCAAAATGTTGACAATGTAAGAGATCTCTGATATCCTTGTGTAATTAATTTTTTTTTTGATTGCTTTCAATACTCAAATTTGCTTGTAGAGCATGCTCTTGCTGATCAAATCTATTAGAAGACACGCCTGCACTTCATATGCAGATTATTTTGGTAAATAATAAATCTTGAAAGCACCAAATTTTATCTCATGCTTGAATTGTACGTTAACCATCGATGCCTTTTACCTTTAAGAAAAACAGAATTGAATCATAATAACAGGCTCTTGAATTTTGAATTATATATAATAGTCAAAGTTTCAAATCAATATAATTTTTTAATTAATTTTGATAACAAAACAAAATTTATACCATATGTTTAAATTGAAAATTTATACAAAACTACAAATTTTTGATAATGTATGTATTATAAATGACAAGCTTTTCAAAATCGAAATTTTGACTTAAGAGATATCTGACAGGCCAGATTCATAGCTTTGTACTCAAAATGAAGAGATATTTTAATTGCAAGACAAGCTTTGAAAAGAGAATTTTCGAGGCAGCCTTGGAACCAAATGATCATGAAGATTTTATATCAAAACTAAACATATTGGTAGGTATGTCTCACTCCGGGGAACACAGATTTCCGGCAAAGACACAAGAAGTTATCATGTCCATCTTCTGGTGACCAAATTCCTCTATGACGTCATCATCCTCCAGAAGAGCTGTGGAGGCATAGGCTATCCCCGCGTTTATCTCAGAACTGGAGGTTTTGTAGAACGCAGTCCTTACAGATGCATTCTGAAGCCCGTCCCACATGCTTCAAATATTTAAAAAATAAAATTTAACCATACAGTATGACATCAGATGTAGGTATCCTATGGTGAACAAGTGTTCTTAATTTTCCGTAAGGTATGGACGGAGAAATATGTTTGAATAAAGAAAAAAGTGGTTCAAATCACCCTCTTTCTTATGTTTTATAGTATTTATTAAAAAAGGAGGCTTTATAAATAAATCATTCAAATAACACATCGAAATGCAAGATGTTATGTTTATATGGTCTACAGGAAATGTTCAACAATTTAACAATTTAAAGTGTGTTTGCATAATACTATGAACAGAATTAGTAAATGCCGGTTCTTAGTGGAAGAAAACGAAGAGTATGCAAATATCTAATGCTAAAATATCTTAACTATAATGTTTCTTTATTTTTCATCTAATTTCATTTATTAAAAGTGTAATATCTAAAAGAAAGGCCTGCATATCAAGAATTTTTTTTTTTTAAAAAGTAATCAAGACGCACTATATTCCTCTTGGAATTCTCCACAACTGGACGTTTTGTTATTATTTATAAATTGCTGTTTCAAATTTATGTACATGTATTTTATAATCATCTGAAATAAAAATATTAATTTTTTTGTTATACTTGAACCCGTATTCCTGGACCAAGGCCGTGAGATTGGAGGAATTCGTGTGTGGATCCGGACCTAGGGAGAGAAATTTAATTAAATTTCATTAAAACAACAAGTTACAAACCTGATATTGTATAGAACATTATCTGTAACGGTTAAGAAACAATCAGCCTTTTTTTCGAAAAATATTTTTGGGTACAAATTTTTATGAATGTTATGTAAAATCAAGTTTATTGCAAAAAAAAAAAAAAAAAAAAAAAAAAAAAACACACACACACACAAATTCCACAATTGACTTTAGAATTAACTGTTTTAAAGGCTATAGCTATTTAATTTAAAGCACTGAAATGTTTCTCGAAATTAGGTGTATATTATTTTACATATATTACATGTAAGTGCAAAAAATATAAAGAAAAAAAAATAATAATGCTGATTAAATTAAATGTTATATAGAAATTAGGTGTATATTAATTTACATATATTGTATGTGCTGTGAATAGTCCTTTTACGTAAAATATAAATTGAAGAAAAAAAAATAATAATGCAATGATTAAAGTGTCTTTTAACAAATGTTTCTCGATGAATCAGATTCAAGTAATTTACATGAAAGTATAATATTATTAAATAGTGACGTTAGCAATCTAACGCTACTCACCCTCATGACCGTGTGACTGGTCTCGGAGCCGATCCATTGCTCCGTTGTATAAGGTATCATCAGTCTTTAAATCAAACATTTGTGTCAGTCCAGAAAACACAGAGTCCCTCAGTTTTGATTTCTTCAGGGGATTCCTGTTACACACAGTGACGCTAGGAAAAGCCAACTTAGGAGCTGATTTTAGTTCAATTTTCACCTCTACAGGATAACTGAAGTATTTATCAAAGAGCCAGTAACACTGGATGCCTAACCAAGACATCATTGCGAGCACGAGGATTAACCATAGAATCTTCTTCACTATCGTGTTCGCTTTTACAATTCTGGCAATAGCTGTGAAACTGGTTTCGTTGATGAAGTTCTCTGTCCTTTCCTTTAGACTGACATTGTTGATGCTATCCAGATTTCTCTTCACTAATTCTGCAAATTTCGGTTTCTTGTCTGTGAATGCCTCCATGGGTAGTGGGTCTGTTTCGTTAACTTCGGGAGGGGGCAAATCTTTAGTCACTTTTTTCTTGACCACTTTTGGTTTTCGCATGGCGTCCATTTTTACGATATGTCTGGAATGCTCTGCTGTGTCAATGATTATGTTTTGTTAAAATAATGTTTTATATCACGTGACTCAGGGAACAATAACGGGTGGTTCGAGCTCTTCGCTGAGTGCTTCCATCCCGATTGTTAATTCCCAATCGCTCTAATATTCTGCAATTCTGTTTACCCTACAGGAATGGGTAAATATCGATGTATTATCTGCACTAATATCATTGGATTGCTTCATACCTCATTAATTTGTGGTTAATTGATATTTCAAATTTAGTGGAAGGCAAATTTGCAGAAACAACTTTTCGGAGATAATGCTCACACCAGTGCTAATCGATATTGACCGGGTATTTATTTTCTTAAAATTTATTGAACTTTAGGACATTAAGTCCCTTTGTTAAATCATATGATGTTTTTAACAAATAGTCCATAAAAATGCATTAAGAATTCAAATAAAGCATTTTTGTCTGTTTTTGACTGTGATTTATACATTAATCTACAGAATCAGATCTCATAATCGTAAGCATTTCCCATAACTTTTACGAAGGCTTTTATAAACGATTGTTGTAATTCATTGTTACATAAAGAACTTTAAAGACTAGAGAAATATCGTGTTAACGATTTCGGTTATTTTAAACTTGCAAAACATTCAATTTATGTTTATGATTAAAGCGGAAAAATTGCATTTTTATTCTACACCTTTGAAAGCATTCTTCCAAGAGATGTTTCCTATTAGGAAAGAATTTCAATTAATAACAATATTTACAAAACCTATGACATCACAGGACGATAAAATACCCTTAAAAGGAAATAATTAAAACAACAATTTAAAGTGATGCAAAAAAATATTAAACTCGGTTTTATATGTCATTTAATTTCTGTTCATGTATTACACTTAATTTGCCTTGATATACGAAGTTGCTTTCGAGAAAACTTCTCTGCTCTTTTGTGAGGCCAATTTAGCAGGGAAAAGGGGAATTCATCGATCGCTAAGATTACGATTAATATTTTTTAGAGGTGAATGGTTATTAATTATGAAACTGTTGTACTAATATTTTCATGAAGTTATTAAAGTTTTAAATTAAAGGATTTTAGATAATAAACTCATGTAGAATTCAATAAGTTAATTGAAAACTTTATCATAGCATCTTCCAATCAAATACAAAAGATCAGGATAAATATTTTCAGAAGTTGTTGTCCTTAATTTAAAAAGTTACTAATTTTATGAAAAAAAATCGATAGAAAATTACGTAACAAATGTGCAGATATGTTTTGAACTACAGAATGTTTTTACTGAATAACACATAAATTCTAGACTGACAGTTTTATTCAATTACACTGTAGTTAATGCTACAACCTACAGTACCATGTCAATCAATTTTTTTTTTATTCATCTTTTTGGAAAGAATGACGCTGAAATTATTCAAATTATTTCAATAGAGATAAACTGATCAAGTTTTATTTTGTTTTCTTATAACCAGTTCAATTTAAATGGTAAAAAATCGAATGATATTAAATTATCAAATTTTAAATTCCAAAGTGATGATTGCTTTCTCTTTTTCCAATCCTTTTAATTTCTTTGCATCAATGAATGTTGCATAACATTAAAACCACTGTTATGTTGTTCCGAATTACTCAATTAATAAACGTCATACAAATTGACATCTATTCAACTAGAGGGTGGGTCTAATTTCGCATCCGGTGTTTCAAAATTATCTTAAGTATGAAAAACAAATATGATGAAAAAATCCCTATAATACTACGCGAATAAAACAATTTTACAAAATTTCTAATTTGGAAATTGCATTTATATCATTAACTATAATGGACTGCTAACTGATGTGAAAACTTTATGTATTGCAGAAAACGATATTGGTTTGTATGGCTTAAATTCATTGGATGAAAAAAGGCATTGTTAATTTGACATGAAACATATAGAGATATCGAACAGTATCCAAGATCAAAAGTCCATAAAACAATACAAAATAGGAGCAAAGCAAAGACGGATCTCCAAAACATCAGAGGTGGGATCAAGTGCCATTCACACTTATATTACACTCCACGAAGGTCATGGGTTTTTTATAAAATGAAATAAACGACAAGTGAATTGCACAAAAAATAATGTTCTGTTATGACATGACATATATTCTTTGAAATATTAAAAACATGTAGAAATGTTCCATTGTAGTGAATTTAAGAATATGTTCAATTTTTTTTGCTTATAGACGATGAGAGGGTCGATCCATACAAATCTGTTTCAAATGATATATTTTGATTTGTTTTGTCTATGATATTGTGAATTTCAACGCTGATTTTCTCTCGAATTGTTATTTTTTAAATGTATTCATTTTTCTATATAATTACCCCTTGTTAATTATTTTCCAAGTTTTACTTGCAATATTGTTGCAACTGAATATTTTCCTATACTAGACGTTAAATTGAGCATTTCTGATATAATTTCAACCAAGCCTCTTTCTTTTCTCCTCACTAAGATATTAACAGTAGTGAAGGAGAAACTTCAAGAGTACTGTGCAACAATATATTCAAGAAGTGGTGTTAATCAGATGTTGATACTTAAGAATTTCAAGGAACTTTTGGACAATTTGAAATAACAAGACTTCACCAAAATCAATAGCTTAAAAACTTATGACTTTTCAACTTTATACACAACCATTCCCCACGATAAATTAAAATCCAGGCTTTTTGATATCAATGACAGCTTCTTTTTCAATAAAAATGGAACACGTAAATTTATTTACCTTGTCATTGGTCATTTGCAAAACTATTTTGTTAAAAAAACATTCTGATTGTACACACAGGTACTCTTAAGTTGACATAAAAAATATGCCTGAGTTTCTGATTAACGATATCTAATTCGTATTTGGAGACCAGTTCTTTCAACAATCTATTCAGAATTTGTGCAACATCTTATGTGCGAAAAGAAGAAAACACTTGCTGTGGCTTTCAACTCGACATTTAGATATATCGACGACGTATTGTCAATTAACAATGGTAATTTCCATTCTCATGTCGATACGATATATCCTGGTGAGCTTGAGATAAAAGATACCACAGAGTTTGACACAGCTGCTTCATATTTGGATATTTTTTTTTAAAAGACGTAAATAGTAATCTAACAACCAAGCTCTGGGATAAACGTGAGGACTTTTCTATTATCAACTTCCCTTACTTATGCAGCAATATACCCTGATCACCTGTATACCGAGTTAATATATCTCAGCTGATTCGATACGCAAAAGCATTCTCTATGTATAAACAATTTCTAAAAGGAGGTAAATAATTGACAAACAAGTTGATGAAACAAGAATTTAGGGTTTCTCGTTCAAAGTTATCATTTCTATTTAAAGTTCTATGGTCGATACAATGACCAGCAAATACAGTTTATCATTGAGTCAAATGCTGACTGACGTTTTTCATACTAATTGTTAGTCCATTATTTATACACTGAATTGATGACGGATTTTTCCGTTATTTACCGATCATGAAAAGAGCACACGGCGGGTGTGACCAGTCGACAGGGGATGCTCACTTCTCCATGGCACCTGAACCCATCTCCCTTGATCAGGAGGTCCTTGTTTGCTCTGCTCCTATTTTGTATTGTTTTATGGACTTTTGATTTCGAATACTCTCCGTTATCCCCATATGTTTCATGTTTTATAGAAATTTTTTAGATTGGGCAATTTTTACCTTTTCTTTAGATTTTAGAAATTAAAATAATCCACATGCGTAGCAATTTAACCAAATTTAAAATACAATGAATTGAACAATTAATTAATTGAAAACTACTGCCAGTTGTTCGATTTAATTTTAAATTTGGTTTAAATTGCTACAAATAGTTTTTTTTTTAATTTCAAAAATCTTATTATGGCTAAGCTTCAATTCTAAACATAAATAAAAGAAGATCAAAAGCAAACAAGAAACCTCCGTGTTTTTTTTCAAGGTGTTTATTGTTTTTCAAATAAACGGTTGTATCAAAACTAGGTAATTTGCTTGCAATTTAAAATCGATATAGGATATATTTGTCTCCCTCTGTTACTTCAAGAATGATTTAGAATTTTATGAGTCTTTTTTAAAGAATTTTTTACGAAACACTTATTTTGTTGACCTTTCTTCAAAGTCTTTCGAACTTGTTGGAAAGATCTTTTTCGAAGGCCAAATTGAGATTATCCATTAAAAAAAAAGGAACAAACATAAGTTTGTTTTCTCAAAGTGCAAGTAATTAATGAAAATTTCGAAATAAAAATATGGTTAAAAAAATTGAGTATCGAAACATAAACAACAAACGACAAATCATTTTTTGTAGCTATGATATGAACGTCATCCATTACCTAATTATTTTAAGGGAAGCTTATATGAAAAAAGACTTTAACATACTTTGATTCCGATAATAAATTTACAAATATTGAAATGAAATTGATGAAGATCTCGAACAAATATTCAAGGGACCATTAAACGATACCACTTGGGAGCTGAGCAAACACGGACTTCCAAACATCAGAGGTGGGATCAGGTGCCATAGAGGAGTGAGTATTCCCTGCCGACTGTTCAATCCGTCTGTGTATCCCTTGTCATTAAACTCATAAGAATTTAAAGTCATGAAATAAGATATAATTTTATCATCAAAAAATTCCGAAATCAATGTACTTTTTGTGTAGGAAATAAACTGTACATTGTTTATTTATCTTAAAGATTTGCAAGATTGTTTCCAGCGTCGTCCCAGAGTGAATGTTAAAAGGTTAAATCATTGACTTGGTAAATTTACTTCCACTTAATGTAACCTCTGAAATTGACAATTTCCTGAAACATTATTTAATTGAGAGCTATAAAGTGATTCAAAAAATCAAACCCGTGAATGGAATGGCTATAGATTACATTACTTTGTAAAGGCACTCTACTGGTATCGTGATAGTAAAATCAATGTTAATACTAAGAGGGGATTGTTTCTGGATGAATAACCTGTCATAAATATTAATGATTTATGTCAGTGTGAAAGGTTAAGTAAGAGGACAACCATAGAACAGAGTCAAATGGAATTCAATGGAGATTGAAAACCTTCCTAATGATCTTGTTTTTACATCCGTTTTGATGTCATTATATTTACATTTCCAATGTCTTTGTCCAAGATAAAACTACTAATTGTAAGTGTACTTTATTTCTACATAAATCTACTGGTTCATCGAAAAGCTTTGTAAAAATAAATCACGTGCGGGGC